TGTATTAAAATTCCTCCTGGATATTTATATAGGATTAATTTAGTTACATATTATATTACTTCAGGTTTTATAATAAAATCCAAATGTCTCACAATGGGCTCTAATCTAAAAGTGCTACGTGATAAGGCCTGTGGCTTCCTCTATCTCACTCTCCAGCATTCTTCCCCTCCTTTTCTTCATTAGCCTTCATGTTGTTCCTCAAACACTTCAAGTCTCTTCCCACCTCACAGAGTTTACTTGCCATTCCTTTTGCCTGGAAGTGTCTTTCCCCCAAGTTTGTGCATAGGCAGCTAGCTCCTCACTGATTTAGGTCTCTGTTCAAATGTAATTTTTTTAGAGACTTCTCCTGAATTACTCTGTTTAGATGGATTCTGCCCCACACCTCATTTATACCTGCACCCCATAAATCATTCTATGCCTTATCTAGTATATTTTCTCCATGGTATTATCACTAGCTAAAAATATTACATGTTTATTGTCTTTTACTCTCCTCACTGTAACATAAGCTCCAGGAGAGTAGGATCTGTCTGTCTCATTCAACATTGTATCTCCAAAGCCAACAGTGCTGGGTATATAAAAAGCATTCACTATTTACTGAATGAATGAACAGTCTCTTAATCCACATCCTGGATATGGCCTTCAAAGAAATTAAATAGGATAGCTGTGATTTAATCTAAAATTTAATCCACCAAAGCACTTCCTTTTCTACTTTCAGAAAGCGGCATCATCCGAGAGTTGACTTAGATGGCTCTAAGCTTTGAAATGCTTGAGAACATCATCAGAAAAAAATACAGTCACACAAAAGTGGTCAAAGTTAAAGATCAAAGTAACTACCTAAGTGCCACTTGCCAACTGCAAATGTAAAATATTTAATTATTATTTTAAAACAACTGTATTTTGTCCTAATGTAAAAGTTTTCAAAATGTTAAGATTCAATCTATATTTTAACCCAAAGAAAACAATTTGAACTATTGAATTCTTAAAATGTCATAGATATCTTTCAAGAACAATAATGTCATAAAATTGGTGTTACCTTGATACATAGCTTGCGCTCCAGTCCAAGCAAAAAGGCTTGCAATAGCATTAGCTCTAAAAACAACTTCTATCTGATCTGCACAGTTTTTTTTCAAAAGCCTTTCCCTTTTTAATTTGTCAGGTAACAGATGAAACTGGGTATGTCCATAACAGTATGGATCTGCTGTCTTTGAGCCTGAAGAGTAAAATAAAAACATTTCAGATGAAATGCACATGTACAACATCTGAAACACACGTCTTTAGTATTTGCTTCAAATCCATCTTTCTCTTCTACTCATTATGTGATCAATAGTCAAAATACACAAATGAGAAG